ACAAAACCAGACAGAAAGAAGTGGGCAGACATTAGTGACAATGGCCACAGCACACACTGTAATTCAACACTTAAACTGTGTATAGTACGGAACAAAGGGAGTCTGACCTTTCTGGAGATCAGCATAACAACAGAGCCCGTCTATATTACTAACCACTGCAATTTGGTCGAACTTCAAAAGTCACCTTTAATACCTGGCTCCTCGTGTTTAGCCCATACTGATGACAGTAATGTATCGGTTTTCTTTATATTGTAATATCAAGCACCAAAGCATCAAGCAACAATATATAAAATACATCATGGCAGGGGTTCCCAATCCCTGGTCCAAAGGTCTTTTGGTACCGGGCCGCAGTAGAACACAGTGAACAGACGTACTTTAGTTTTACTAATTTACTTCATTCAAAAAGAGTCCAGTCATTTCCCTTTACTTTGTTACTTTAAAAGATAATCTGGGAATTTTCCAAAGAATAAAGTCTAAAAGAGGTTTTATTTTGAAAAAACGAATGATCCTTCAACTATGGCATGGACCAACAGGTCCTTAGTACAAACAAAGTTGGGGACGGCTACAATATGGTGTCAGAATTAAGGACATGTCTACAAATTAACGGCAAACCATTAAACACAAAGTGAAAAAAAAACTTGTGGAAAAGAAACTGTTCTTGAAGAGTTTTAGGTAGAAGAGAATTTTTGTGACAAATGTTCTTTAGTTTGAAACCCCCCAAAAATATAAAGAGAAAAGTAAAGTGTGATAAAGTTTTTTTTCCTTGGATCTTAGTTCAGTTTTCCGTATGGGTGTATGCAGTCAATCTGCCTTTTAATTGCAGAGTTAATTTGATGCATGTAAGATGAGTTTGTTTTGCTTTGAAGAGCAGCCAGGAAGACCTCATCTTCCACACCGTCACGAGCAATTAGCAGCCAGACCACCTGGCTGAGTGGCTACAAAGCTTCCCACAGAGCTAGCTGCAGCCGTACGCGGTGAGTCTGGGAGAGTGTGTTTGCACACATGTCGCATTATTAGTGATGAAATGCAGACGGGAGAAAATGTCAGGAAGCAACGGCTACTCCTGCCATGTGTGATCGTGGATGCTGTGCAGACACA